AATACGAAGAGTGTGCTTTTTTCTAAGTTATTTATTTATTCTGATTCTGGATGGAAGCATTAGTTTTATAAGTGAAACTATAACTATGCATATTAATCCGGTAGTTTTGCACTGATTTTTCATTTCATCGTTACAAGAATTTTTAAGAATTCAATATTTTTTTGGTATTTGACTGTGACTTGGTGAAACCTTCTTTAGCGCTAGAAAAGTATAAATGTGATTTTGAAGAACTACCGAATGTAAACATCCGTTGAAACTTGATTCTTTAAATTGACATTTATATTTAAAAAAATAGAAATTGTCTGTAAACCAATAAAAACTGAATAATTTTGCGATATTTACTTACGTAAAAACATAAAAATCGCTTAAAGTTTTTAATAAATTTGCCTATATTGTTTCATTCAGAAAATGTTGTAATTTGATTTATTCATATCAGATATCAAACACTGATGATTTTAAATGTTTTCAAATTGTAAATAACTTACACAGAGAGAAAATTAAGTTTTCATTTACTCTCCTCCTTTATTCATGCCATACAAAGTATGGTTAAATGGGGTTAAATATTATTTGGTTGGTTAAAATGAACGAGTTATTAAGCTTTAAATAATACATTGAAACTATAGTTGCATTTTTAAAAATCAATTTTCAACGATGCATTCTTAATTTTACTATAAACAGAAAATTCAAATAGCATTAATACAAATTGGATTGGGAAGAGAATTAGTTTGGCTCTTGGGTAATATAAGAAACCTATGCGAATATTTTTCTTATACAAAAATATCAAGCAATTCTGAATTTAGGAAAGGGGCTGTTCTCTTATTACGTAACACGAAAAACGACTTTTAGACCCTATTTACCCCCGCCTCTTGGGCTTTTTCGGTTGTTTGTTCAATTATTAACTCATAGATGGAAGTTGAAATGTTGTTTTTTGAATAAAAATTCTAATTATTTTACATACATGTAGGTGTTCTATTAAAGCTTTCTGATGAGCAACATTTTATTTTAAAGTTTAAATCTATGAAAATTGAATAATATACCATAATATTTCATTAAAGGATCAGTTAAATGTTACAAAATCAACAAGTGTCAGGATTTTTTTATTTTATTAACAGTCTTTCTAAATCCAATTTTTTTTTTATCAATGAATTTTATTAGCATTACAAAGAAGATTCATTGTCAGTGAAGACATCACAAGGATGCTTCTTTTTTGGATAATTGGGGATCATGTAGAGTAATTTTTGACTTCTACAAAGTTTTATACAAAAATGGTTTTGAATTATCATATTTGAATAATAGGAAATTCCAACAATTATTTTACAAATATTTTAAAGTTCATCGAAAGGGATCGTAAAATTTTCACTTTTGTCAAATTAAACTAAAGACTAGTAAACAATACAGTAAACAATAATCCTTAAGTAAAGAATAAATAATGCCTTCTACAACTAATACAATCATGAATGTTTCCAAAATGTTCAAAAAGTTTCTCGATGTTTATAGAAAAATCTACAACAAAGAAATTTCTATAATCTTCCTAATACGCAATAATTATACCTTCAGATGTAAATAATCGTCATAATGACGTAATCATGATTTTTCTTCTCGTGATTAAATCACATGCATTGAAATGTCAAATATTTTGAAAATTAGATCAATTTTTTGTTTTTATGACGTGATTTTAACTAAATTCTAGATTTTTCGGTAATATGGCTGTGTAAGTTAATGAAATTTCTTGAATGGATTTAATAGTATTTCGGAGGATTAAGTTGTTATAAATTAACTAAGATATAGTCTGACGCAAAGGAGCAATTTTGTTTAATTAAATTTCGCAAAAGCTTAGCAACTAAAAACTAAAACCTCAAATAAATTAGAACGCAATAAAAAAAGTAATTTCAACAAATGTCATGGGATGACGCTTTTCACACTCCTTGTCTCAAATGATAATTAAAAAGTTTAAAAATTTATTAGCATAGGTTTGTTTGGATAATTAAATATTTTTATAAAAATGACTAAAAATAGTGTTTATTAAGAATGATTTAAAAGTTTTAAAAAACTTAAATTTGTTTGTCTCAAAAATGACCAAACAAAATGATTTAATTTTTTTGTTTTTTCATAACGCTTCTTCCCGGTCACAAAATTTTAAATGGAAAAATTTTTTTTTTCTGAGCTATCACAAAATTTTTGACCCCCTCCCCCCATAAATGTTGTACGTCATAAATGAATAAACCCTAATGATTTTTTTATAATTTATAATTTTAATTTTGCACAGAAAATGCTTCTACCTGTTCATATAGCAGGAATTTTTATATATTATTATTTAAACTATAAATTATTTTAGCAAATATTAAACTAAACCCATGCAGAACGCTTGTTGATTACAAGTCACAAATTCACGAACTTGCTATCATTTTCCTGAAAAATACAAAGAGTACAGAGTAAATAAGATAAAGCTAGAATATGTCTTGAACGAAATATAAACAAGTTTTTACTTTATTTTGCAATGAGCAATGTGCAGCAATTTGTTTTTATGAATTTTTCACGTATTCAAGTAACAAGCATTTATCGAGCCGCCGACTAGATAGATTAGACGTACAGATAAATAAATAGAGAGAGAGTGAGAGAGAAAGAAAAATAAGTGAGTAAATAGAATTCAGAATGGAATTACATAATAATAGGAGAAAAAAAGCATTTTTGCGCTTACTTAATTCCTGATTATTTTATCTTTTGCTATATGTCACTTGCTACATCTTTCAGATTATATAAATAAGAATACACAAATAAAATTGTTTGGACGTTTTGTATGATTGTATATAAAATTCATTCATTTATATTCTTATTATGGCGTCGATTAAATCTATACAAATTGAAATTATATTGATAAGCCGTCCGTTCAGCACAAAAAAAAAATTGAGAGAGGTTAAAATAATACGTAAAATACAAAGAAAATAAAAAGAGAATTTGTAGGAAAATTTTCATGCCTCAATTTTGTGAAAAAGAACACACAGCTAAGGAGCTACTTAGCACACAAGTGTCTTTTCTTTTCTCTATAATAATATTACGAATGATTGCAGAGAATCTATACAAAAATTACGACGATGAGAGTGAGAAGAGAGAGAGCTTTGAATGTCGAAGCTTACGACTACAGTTTTGCGCATAAAAACACTCAGTACGTACACAAGCAGTTCGTGTAAGCTTCGTGAAAAACACACAACATTCATACACAGTAGACGTTTGAATTAATATAGCGAGACAAAATTTCTCAATAAAATTTTCTGTCGCAGTCGATATGTGTTTATCAAATAGCTTGGTCTGAGCTTCCCGCGAGTTCCGTCGAGTTCTTATTTATTATTATAGATATATATATATATACATATATACTTATAGAAAAAAATCTCTTTGAAAGTAAAAACAACTTTTTTCTTTCCTTTTTAAAAAAAATTGATACAACAAATTTGATAAGTTAGTTCAGGAGTAAAAAGACAGCACATTTTTTGTGAGCATGAGAGAGTGAAATGAAAAAAAATTATTCAGTTGCCTTGAGGAATGAACCAAAAATACATAAATATACATATATATATATAATATATAGCGAATTATTTCAAATGAATAACGTTTAATAAAAAAAAGAACTAATTAAAATTATTCATTGCTTTGAATTGAAGCCTTATGGAAAATAAGCTTTTGGTGGAAAAATAAAAATTAATTTCACCTAGTGAAAGATCCAAAGAAGAAAAACAAAATTATCGGCAAAATATTTTACAATTCGCGAATAGTCAAAAAATGTGTGTTTTAAAAATAAATGAAAAATAAAACCGTAGTGTGAATACAGTGAGTGAAGAATATTCTATGCATCTATATAGCACAAAAAATGATGATCGCGAAAAATCAAATAATATGATGTGAATAAAGAAGAAAATACGTGAAATATAATGTTTATATATACATATATTGAGAGCTTATGATGATGAAAAAAATATATATTTGAAATTTATAGGAATAAAAAAATTTTGCCAACACATTTATTTTTGTAAAAAAAAAATATAAAAAAAATTAAGCGAAAGAAAATTTAGCGATTCTCACTCACACAAAATTTGTTTTTGTTCATGTCGTTCTTTTTCATCCGAAAAAATAAAAGAATAAAAAACTGAATCAAATAAATATATATATATATATATATATGTATATATATTGTTTTATCATTAAAGTGGTGCTCATTTTCTGTGTTCTGTGCTGTTGAATATAATAGCTGTGTAATCACATACACTACAATTGTACATATATAATTGTGTATAGATTCTCAAAATAAGAAGAAAAAATATATTTAAAATAAAGTATAAAAAGTGATCTATGGCCAACAAAGTAAATTTTAGTGAGAGTAAAAACAAAACCGAAAGTGGTTAAAATTTAAAGTCAGGAATTGTGCAAATCAAACACATGCTTTGCTAGACAAGGTTTTACTTACTACCTTATAAAATACTTTACATGTAAACACTCCGAGAAGAAAGAAAAAAAAAAAAACAAGTTTTTTTTCGTGAGTATGACATAAAACAGTGCATTAAATCTGCGAAATTTGTGAAAAGAAGAAGCAAAAAAGAGCTTAATAATTAAAAAAAAGTTTTCCAAAAATTAATGAAGAAAGATAGTGCTATATTATTGTAAAAAGGGCAACGTTAAGAAATTGTTATGGAAAAAGTTGTTAAATGTTAAAAGTTTATGGATATCATATTATAAATGTCAATTTTTGATAGAAAAAAAGGAACAAGAAAGAGAAAGGAGTTTAAAGTTAGTGTTTAACTTAAGTGCTTTACTAGCTCAATTTTATAGTGAAAAATTTATACAGATAAAATTGCATATATTTTATATTATAAATGTTGAAATTATTTTTCAATGGAAATTTGCACAATGGATAAGCCATCGTCCCATTTTTTAACGGGAATAGGACCAAATAATAATAATGATAATAATTTGACTAATAATAATGATAGTAAAAATCTATTAAATAGTTTTGAAACAATTGGTGGTGATAATTATGCCGTTCCATATGTCCAAAATATTGAGCAACAGCAGCAGGTACAACAAAACATAAGTGACCAGTGCAATTTGCAATATCTTAATAATTCGAGTGATAAAAACTGGAAAATTGAAAATATTGAGTGCAAACAGGAAGTAGATTTGATGCCTAATGATAATTATCTAGATAATCCAAATAATAGTGATGATATGAATTTAAGATATGGTTCAGTGACAGTGTCAGAAGATTACAACGAAACATTTAATTACGGATATAATAATAATTCTACTAGTAATCCTAGTGGAAGTAATATAAATAAAAGTCGAAACTCACCTTTTTTTGAGGGCAGCAGCAGCACTTTGAATTCAGCTCACTGCAGTCGCCGTATCAATAGCATAAATAATCATAATTCGCATATTTCGTATAAAAACGGAAACAACAGTAATAACATTTCAAATTATAGTCCATATCAAATGTCGTCATCAACGAAAAGTCAATTACCGGCATGGTACAATCCACCACAACACCCACCACACCACAATCTACCGCCACCGGCGGCAGTAGCAGCACATCCATCTTATTACCCAACGCCAAATTTTTTTCAACCTCACCATCAACCATATCAAGTAAATTATATGGCATCTGCGTCGACATCAAGTGATCATAATATGCGAAACATGATACAGATGACAAACAGGTAGATTTTTTTTTCACAGCATACATAATGCGAATCGTTTTTATCATCTATCTCTCTTGCTTGCTCCTTAATTTGCTCACTCACTCGCTTTTTCACATATAAACAAGAGAATGTAAATATATCAGTAGAGATACCAAATAGAAAAATCTCATTTCTTTATTTTTTTCGCCCCGCTGGTGCTGTGTAATTTTTTTACATATGTATCAATTTTATGTCTCGTAAATATTGTTAAAGAATAAATTTCAAAGATTTTTTTTAATATTATCATAATTTTACTGGAAAAACACATATATTTTCATTTTGGTGGGGAAATCAAGCCAAAAAGAAAAATCGTGAAAATTTACTTTGATTTAATATGGAACAATTTTTATAAGAAGATATAATGTTTTCGTTGATAGCTGGGTATAAACAGTTGAAAAAAGAAGCTTTTCGCAGACCTTTAGTTTTTTCTTTCGTTGCAAGTTAATGTTAGCAAAATTATACTAAAATGGTCCATAATTGATTTCAATATAATTATCTCTATTAAATTACTTAAGTTTATTCAGAAACTGAAAAGAGGATCTACGTGAATTTTTGAATTTCACGCCGGAGATTATTTTACCATTGTTGATGCTGGAAAATATTTTTTTTCTCAATTTCATACTGACGGGCCCGAAAAAAAAATCGTGGGCGAATTTAAATTTCAAGTTTTATTTCAATAAATTAGATTAGCGAATTTTGTGCACAGAAAAAATGCAAAAAATTACAAGACCATTCATAAAATAATTTAACTGCAAAAAAGGTAATGTCAAAGTTTCATATGCGGTTTATAACAAGTTTTCCTTTTATTTGGAAATAGGTCAGTAGTTGACACTGTTGTGTGTCATTACTCAACTCGACTTTTCCGTATAAAACCACTCAAGTCAACTTTGAGCCCAGGAAATTCTAAATGCGAGAAAAATCTGGGCTGAAGAAGAAATTCAAGAGAAATGTCATGTCAGCTCCAAAGAAATTCTCGGAATTTCCTTCGTCAACCAATTTTATGATTCATGAATTTTCAATAAGATTTTATACATTTTCTGCTCCTCGGTACACAATAAACCTTTAAACACATACATTTAAATCATAAATAAAGAATCTTTAGTATTTCACCAAATGTCACGAAGTTCAGTAAATCTCAGCTTCAGAGATTTTCAAGGTTTTTTCAGGTTAATTGTGTGGTCAAGGTTAGATACCATTAGAATGGTTGTTTACATGAAGACGCTATTGTCAAAAAAAAAAACACGTCTTTAAATTTCAAATAATTTTGCTACTCCTAGTGAAAAAAAAACACTTAACAATAATGTCTTTTCTGTAAAACTCAATTTTCAATTGCTTTTAAATCTATTATTGTTGTAATTGAAATATAATTTAACTGTTTTGAATGAAAACATTGGAAAACATGACTTATCGTCTGTAAAAACTAATTACTTAAATTTATTCCTACTCATTTATAGTAAAATAAATCTTTTTTGTGTATGGAAATTTGAACTTTTATTGACAGTCAATCAATAATAATAATATGAAAATCGTGCCTTAATTTTAAAAATTCAAGAATAAAGAAAACAATTTGCTACATGCAAAACTCATTTTTTTTTATTACATAAAAGCTGATAAACTGTTAAAATAATGGAAAGAGAATGTGTGAACACAAATTACATCATTACAAGATATTTATATTATTCTAAAATTAATATCACAATTGCACGAAATATTGTGATCCATAGAGAGACGCTTGTTAGATTAGATAATGCAAAGCAGTTTCCATTATAATTTTCACATTGCAATTGGGCGGGTGCATTTGCATATAAACTAGATTTTTCCAATTCTTTTTACTTATTTACACAAATATAGACAATTCATGATTCTAAATGCAAATGTCATTTCAAAATGTGCATGAGTAAAATAATATATGAAAGTCATTCTCAAATGGATTATTGTGATGAATTTGTTGCTTTATTTCAACCATTATCTAATCAAAATGTCGCAATAGATTTGAATATTCCTAAGGGAAATTTTAAAATGTGTCTTCATGTTGGAGCAAATTCAAGATGTTTGCAATACAATTCTCGTAGAATTTTAAGTACATAATATAGAAATTTGCTTTCAAAATAATTTTGAAATCTACACATTATATGTAATTCATACTTCATGATATATATTGAAAAACAATATTTCAAAAACACCTGTTAGATGTACGGGGATGTACTATAGAATTTTTTATTTTAATTTCTTAAAAAATTGGTAGATATTAACTCAAAAAAACATGATCGTATCGAAAGCTGAATAAATACACGATGATAATGAGAATTAAACTAGCTCAAAAACAACTTATAGCCTAGATCGCTGACGTTCTTGTTCGTTCATTCAGTCATAACAAATGAGCTAAAATTTTGTTTCATAAACTTCATTCATTTCCATTATAGTTCGTTTATTTCAATTTCATCATACTTCCAATTATGTCATCAAAACTTAATTGATTTTGAATATTTTTTTCAAACTATTAAAATTGAAAAACTTATAATCGTAAAACACGAAAATATTTTTTCCAATTACCGCAAAATAATCATTTTTTATACTTATTAGTACTCAATTTTAGTTTGGAAAATTCTGAGCATTTAATATGGACGAGAAAAAAAAACGATTTTTTGAATATTTCTATAAATATCTTGGAAAAAAAATCATTATGTCATAATGAATCATTTGTGGATTATAATTTATTAATCTTTTCATAGAATTGCTACTTTGTTGAATGTGATTTTTATTTAATAGATAGAAGATATTTGTACAAAAATGTGCAAAAAAAGAATGAAGTGCTAATGACAGGTGAAAATCAAGAATTTAAAAATAGGAGATTGAAAAAAAATGACAAAATATTGAGAAAAGGGCAAAAAACTAATGTCAATTAATTCGTTTTTTCAAAAAAAGAAATGTCGTGAAAACATATCAAATGTGTTGTTGACGTTTTTTTACTCTAAATTCATGTTTATTGAAAAAACTACATGATTTTTATTAGAAATTATAAATAAATAGCATAGATACTATTCTATTCTTTGATTAACGCGCTTATCTCTTAAAGTTATTCTATTAAGCATGAATGAAAAAATTGAGTTTTTTTTGGCCTGTCATACTATCGTATAAATATATATTACGTTACATCAACGAGGACGAAAGATCTGCCTACACATATTTATTTTAATATAATTGATCAGACAATAAAAATGAAAAAATGTGAAGAAATCTGTCATGGAAATTTTGAATGCATGTATAAGTGAAACGAAAAAGTACCAGAATTCAACTGCTTTTAAGCACAATTCCCATTTCTCGAACTTTAGCTTCTTAAAAAGATTTTATTTGTGCCATCTATTTGAGCTTTTTAACCTGAGTTTTTCATTAAAATTGATGTATTAATTTTTGGAACACTTACATTTTGTCGTTGTTATTAGCAACATCGCGGTAAATTTTACTTTTTCATTAAATGTTGGAAGCTCTAATTAATTTCGTTCTTTCATCAACATCTAGCATAATTTAAAGATCAGAGGTGAACAAGACATAATACAAGAAGTAGGAGTAAAATTTTGGAATAGAAAAATTTTGGTTCACTTAATTTTTTTGTGATTCACTTAAAAACGTAAAATATAATCATGCCTAATTAAAATCACGAGTGCCTTTTAGGGTAACATAACTTAATATATACTGAAGAATGAAGAAGCTCTTATCTGCCTCATCAATTTTGTAAATATACCTGTAATTTTTATGCTGAGAAAATATATTTATAAAATTGTTAAAATTAATCGATATAAGAAAGAATGAAAAACTTTTTGTTTACAAATATATGAAGTACGCATTTATGACGCTTAAAAACACTTTATATAGAGAACAAAAATATAATTAATGTGATACTATATTTAGATTACAACTTAGTAAATAATCCAAATTGTAAAAAAATCAAACGTTTATTCAAAAGACAGAGGTGCATCAACTCGTGAAATGAATTAATTTTCAACAAAACATTGGTTTTTGATAGTATTTATACAGAAATTGAAGTAATAACTTATAATTGAATAATCTTCCAATCAAATTTCTGAGAAACTGACGCTATAAGACGCTTCTTGTAATTTGATGTCACAAACTATGATATGACATGATTTTTTCCAATTCTTTATTTTCTTTATTGTATTTAGTCGTCTTAGTATATTAAAAAGAATTATCAAATGACTAGTGTGAATTTTCTTTTCCATGCAAGCTTCCATATTCATTTTATAAATTATTTTACATAAAATTTTCGAGTTTCGTGAGCTTGAGAGCTAACATTCAAACATTTGCCATGCCTTATTTTAAAAATATAGTTAATTCAAGTAATTAAATATTAAATAGCTGAGATAAAATATTAGTGAAATGACAGCGGAATATTTCATATATATAACAACATGTCATACTTGATCTACATATTTTAATCGGTTTGAAAACATACAAAATTGAATTTTTAAAAATGGTAAGAAGTCAGATTTCTTATTAGAATCATCTTTTTAATGTCGAAAATCGGATTAAGGTATAAACCATATAAATAATAAAACACAATAATGTCAAGTTTATTATTAAGAAAACAACTTTTTTCCATTTTCTTTTTGCATGTTTGCTTTTCTAAATGACGGCTAAGAAATCTAAATAGGATTTTAAGCATTAGAACCCTATCAAAACATGTATCATAATTCCCAAAAGGATACTGATTAACTCTGCTATAAATAGGATGTATCAGATTAAGCAAAGTAAAAAGTATTTGTAGGTATCAAAAAAGGAAAAAAATGGCCGCATGGCAACCGAAAAAGTCTTGCGCAATTTCTCTGACATCGGTTTTACAGTAAAGAAATTTATATATACAGAAGAAATTACATCACAAAAGAATAAAAACTTTCTCGCTCTCGCTTTTCTCGTCTTCTCGACTTCTTTTCAAATTTATTTTTGGTGGCAAGAAAAAAAAA